AAAGAGTTTCACATCAATTAGGATGTTTTTGACTGAAAATGACACAAAACTTAAACTGGTTTAAATTCTCAAGATTTTTTTGGCTCATACGACCAAAAACACAAGCCTCAAGAGGATCACCCCTAAAATTTGCTGTGTGATGCAGGGAGCTCAACCACGGTGCGCTGTGACAACCTAGAGGGGTGGGATGGGGTGGGAGGAGGGAGGAAGGTTCAGGAGGGAGGGGACATAGGTATACCTATGGCTGATTCATGTTGCTGTACGGCAGAAACCAACACTATACTGTAAAGCAATTATCCTCCAATTAAAAATAAATTTAAAAAAGAAAGGGTGCAGTTTCATCAAAAAAATTAAAAAGAGGATCACCCTTAAGCTTGAGTGAGGAATTCCTCTTCTTACCATCAACACTTTGAAGTTATATTAATACATTGAGTGCCTACTATGTACTGGTACAGTTCTAGTTAATGAACAAAACAGACAAAATTCCTCCTCTGCACATACAAATGCTTCTTGGTATCTCTTTTCTTTTTCTCTCATTAAAATTAAAATACAACGCCTTAAATTGGGAAAATTGTGTGGAGGGAGATGAAGAGAGAAAACTTTAGAATATAATGCAAAGTTCAAAACACTTGCTGGGAACGTAACACCCTTTTGTAGGAGTGTCTGAACTTCTATATTAAGTGATAATGGAGGGGTGAATGCAGTTCACTATGGATATAAAACTCTAAAATCCAAAATATCACAAATGATACATTTTAAAGCCCAGTGTGGATTTAAATTAGTCAAAGCTTTTAACTTATCATAGTTGCTGAGTTAATTCAAGTACCTATGAAAATAATTACGTTTTTCAAACATCTCAGTGGATCTTTGTTTCTAACTAAATTGTATGGCAACATGTTTTATATGTGGGTCATATCTAAACCTGCATTGCTACATTTACATTTAAATTAAAAGTATATAGTTTGCAATAAAAGGAAAACTCGGTCTTTATATCCAACTAAGTACTATAAGTTTCTCAAATTTCTCCAATGCCTTAGTTCACTCAGACACTTGTCACTATTTGAACTACAGCAACCAGCCTTTCTGACTTGACTTGCATCCTATGTATCTGTCCTCTCCATGGCCGAGAGGAGATTTCATCCAAAATGAAGATGAGTCCTTTATTCTTATAATGCCTTGAACCATAGTTACTCCATAAATTTTGCATGAAATGGGATGCAGTTCTTGCCTCAGCTCTGAAGCTAACTTCTGGTGCATTTATGGGTATATTGCTTTATCTTACTGAGCCTTTCATTCTCTAATTTGGAATTTATAAAACCTACTCCATTAGGTTTTTGGCACATAAAATACTACTATATGATTGAATGCAAAAGTAGAAAGTCAAGAAACACCTGGAGTAACAGAGAAATTTGGCCTTGGAGTACGGAATGAAGCAGGGCAAAGGCTAATAGAGTTTTGCCAAGAGAACGCACTGCTCATAGCAAACACCCTCTTCCAACAACACAAGAGAAGACTCTACACATGGACATCACCAGATGGTCAACACCGAAATCAGACTGATTATATTTTTTGCAGCCAAAGATGGAGAAGCTCTATACAGTCAGCAAAAACAAGACTAGGAGCTGACTGTGGCTCAGATCATGAACTCCTTATTGCCAAATTCAGACTTAAATTGAAGAAAG